TGCCTTGGAACCAGTATTAACACCAACAACAATGTCAGCCTGGTAATCAAACGCAGAATCACTCTTGCCAACAAGTGCTACTTTGGACTGAGTAGGCATTTGAAAATTAAAGTCCTCTCCTGACGAACGAAAACCAAACTCTACAAGTCCCTCATCGCTACCGTCCTGATTTATGGTGCGGAAGCATGGACGATGACAACATCTGATGAGTAGGCGTTATAAGTTTTCGAGAGAAAAGTTTTACGTAAGATTTATGGTCCTCTAAGAGTTGGCAACGGCGAATACCGCAGACGATGGAGCGATGAGCTGAACGAATTATACGGCGACATTAATATAGTTCAGCGAATCAAGAAGCAGCGGCTACGCTGGCTAGGTCAGGTGATCCGGATGGATGCGAATACTCGAGCTCTGAAAGTTTTCGATGCAGTACCCGCCGGTGGAAGCAGAGGAAGAGGAAGACCTCCACTCCGTTGGAAAGACCAGGTAAAGAAGGACCTAGCTATAATTGGTATTTCCAATTGGCGCCAAACAGCAAAAAGAAGAAATTCAATTCAAAAGGCATAATGTTGTTAAATTGGCTACAATCGCGTAAGCGGTGTCTACGCCAGTAAAGTAAGTAAGTATTGTTTCTCCTTGGGCTCTGCTTGATACGATCGATCCGTCCAGCAGATACAGCGTTAAAAAGCTTCTACGTGTAGTTTGCGTGCCTTTTCGTGGATCACCACATTTTCCTCGAATACATCTTATTACATATCCCGTCCGGTCTTCATCTCATCGTTTCATCTTCTGGAGCATTCGGAATGCCTCCACACAAATCTTTTGGTACAAGCTCGCAGGGTATAAAACAACCCATACCCATAAAATCTAAATATTCTGACAGTCGGTGATCAGAGCGCCTCATAAGGCAGTATTAGTCTGACTTCAAAAAAATGCATTTTTTTTTTGTTTCTAAATCTATTTCAAAACCCGATAGCCGTGGGGTTAGCACTGCGTTCTGAAATTCCGAAGGTTCGGGTTCACATCCCGGTGCCACCAACATCCAAAAGTTATGGAAAATTAATTTAAATAAAAAATTAAGCTAAATTTTTAAATTGCGGCCGCCCCTTGCCACAACATGTCCACCCCTCCAGATGTATTTTGGACATAAAGTTTCCTCGTAAAAAACGATCAGCGGTTCGCAGGCGGCTTAGTATAACGCAAAACCACAAATTGTAGGTGGAGCTCGCTCAAAAAAATCGCTTCAGCGGTCTTTTGAATTTCGCGGCTATGTACAAAGCGCTACAAAGCTCGTATCTGGCAACACTATACATAATTTGAAAGGTCTTGACATAACCTACAAAACAACGCTATGCATGATTAGATATTGCGTTCAACAGTTATAGACGTGTAAACATGGAGTTCACTAACGCCGAAATTCGCGCTATTTAAAAGTTTTCCTTCGTTAAAGGCAAATCCGCTAGAGAAACGTTCCGTGAGATTAATGGTGATTTGGGGGATGGTACTCTATCACTTCGAACCGCGGAGGAATGGTTTCGACGATTCAGAGCCGGTGAAAACGCCGGCGGAAGACCTGTGACGACAAATACCGATCAAATCATGGAATACATCGAGTTAGACCGGCATATGGCATCTCGTGACATCGCCCAGGAGATGGGAGTTAGTCACCAAACCATTTTGAACCATCTGCAGAAGGCTGGATGCAAAAAAAAGTTTGATGTTTGGGTGCCGCATAACTTGACGCAAAAAAACCTCCTGGACCGAATCAACGCCCGCGATATGCTGCTGAAACGGAACGAACTCGACCCATTCTTGAAGCAGATGGTGACTGGCGACGAAAAATGGATCACATAGGACAATATCAAGTGAAAACGGTCGTGGTCGAAGGCCGGTGAATCGTCCCAAACAGTGGCCAAGCCGGGATTGACGGCCAGGAAAGTTTTGCTGTGTGTTTGGTGGGATTGTAAGGGAATCATCCACTATGAGCTGCTCCCATATGGCCAGACGCTTAATTCTACCATCTACTGCGAACAACTGGACCGCTTGAAGCAGGCGATCGACCAGAAGCGTCCAGAATTGGCCAACAGGAAGGGTGTAGTGTTCTACCAGGACAATGCCAGACCACACACTTCGTTGATGACTCGTCAGAAGCTACGAAAGCTCGGATGGGAGGTTTTATCGCATCCACCATATAGCCCAGACGTAGCGCCAAGTGATTACCACCTATTCCTGTCCATGGCGAATGCCCTTGGTGGTGTGAAGTTGTACTCAAAAGAGGCTTGTGAAAAGTGGCTGTCCGAATTCTTCGCAAATAAGGAGGGGTGCTTATACGAGGAAGGTATTATGAAGTTGCCGTCTAGATGGGAACAGAGCATATTTTAACTAAATCCGGTCACTGTAACACTTTTTATAAAGCATGGAATGAAGAGCAAAAAAGCGGAAGGGAGATATTTGACAACCTTTATATATATATATATATATTTCAAAACTATCAAAGAATATATTCTCAAAATTTCAATAAACATTTCGACGTATTTTAAAAGCTAGAGCAGTTTTAGTGCCGGGCGTCGACCAGGTTCGAATGATCGGCCAGAACTTTGAAGCGCGTTTTTTCAAATTTTCTTTTTTTACAAGTCTTAAAGACTACACCGGTGATAGCAAAAAGAATAAATGTATGTATGTCCGATCGAAAAAAATCTAAGTGAGCTAGCTTTAATATAAAATTATCTTCTATTGGAACTAAAATAAATAATTTTTTTTTTCAACTTGAAGCGATTTTTTTTTCAAAAGTGAATTTTTTCCCACTTGGAAATTCGGAATTTTCGAACTTCTTCGTTATTTTTCTAGTTCAAATAGAAGAGACACTCATAAAAATTTGGTTCGCACATCATCACCTGCACCGCTTCTGCACTTTAGAAAACTCTTCACAACATTGGGAAATTTCAATATTTTTTGATTTAAAAATTGTTTTTTGAAGCTTAAATATTGCACATTATTGTCTGAAAATTTTGTTGACCACAATAATTTACTACCATTTCAAAAAAAATAAAAATGCTAAAAAACCCTTTTTTTCGGGTTCTAAAGGAGGCAACTCTTTAAATCTACAATAGCGATGAGAACTTCTTTTGAAAACTTGGGTAAGTAACCACTTTTACTTTTACAATTTTCGAGCATTCAAAAGTTTACTATATTTCTTTACATTTGAACACACACACATTCAGATGAATGTATGTGCAATATATGTAAGTAAAAATAAACTTAACCACATTTTCGAGTAAGAATTTCAGTGTGAATGTGTGCGTTAGTAGGTTTATTATTTAATATTTTATTTGTGGTTGGACAGTAAGTCGAAATTTGCTCTGTGTTAACTTTTAACTTTAACCAACAACACACACACATGCATACACCCGACGAGCGTAAAATATGCATAAAACCATTTATTTATTACATTTAATTGCTGCAAATTTCCAACTGATATGCCTTTTGAATTTCTCATATTCATAGAGAATTGTAAATTTGTATGAATTGCGTAATGCAATTACTTGTCGTGCAAGGTATGTATGTATTTATGTATGCATGTATGTATGTATGTGTATGAGTAATTTTGCTGAGGCCTTCAAGGAAGCTGTGACATGTCAAACTCAAAGAAAGATTTATTAAATTTAAAGTTATTTCAAATTCTGAGTATAGTATATATGTAATAAATATTTGTATGCATAAGTGCTTAAGTAAGTATAAAGTGATATCTGAATAAGCTGAGTTGCAAAATTAATATTTAATATCAATTGAGTTGAGTAGGGAATTTGTTGTTGGTTTATTGACAAAAGAGGGTATTTGATTAAACTGAGTAAATAGAAAGCTGTGAAAATCAAAAGGAAATATTGATTACGCAGTTTTAAACTATAATATAAAGCTCATCGGCGCTGTATGCGTCACGAGATATACATACATACATGCATAGGTGTCCTAACAGCATTGAAAGTCATTCAGTCTTCATTTATGTCGTTAGCCTTCACCACATCACCTACCTACCGCCAGGCAATACTCAGCTGGTGTTGTTGTTGTTATTGTTATTATTGTTGTAGCCACAAAAATATTCCCGTAAAGTAGTTGTGAGAGTGACAGTTCTTGACCGGATAAAAATACCTGTCGTTTTGGTATAAAGACTAAACTGTTGGGAGAACTTTTAGATTTTAGTCGCCTCTTATAATAGGCATGCCTTACCGAAATACCGAAATCCCTATCGTGCAGCACATGCATTATTGAGCTCGACCCATTCTCTACAGAACAAGTGCCTAAACTTCTTTATAAATGGAATAAGAGCATTTTGAAGGCAACTTACCTACATAAAGTATGTCCCTTCATGTGGTATGACTCATCTATGTATCCACATACATAGATCACTTACAAGCAATCATTGCATAAGTTGCACGTGTTCGCTTCAACGTTTTGAGAAAATCAATGTTTCGATTTCTTTTTTGAAAGCCAAGCTTATTCCGCACTAATTCAAAACAAAAAAAAAAAAAAAACGAAATGGTGTCCGGCACACTACAAGTAAGCGACGTTATCACAATGAATTTAAGCAAAGTCTACTCACAAAACTTCCGCAACAACAATAGCACACGCGCCAACTCTATGCGCTATTTTTTATTTAATTATTTTATTTGATTTTTTTTTTTTGTTTGTGCAACAGCAATATTTAAAATTGCATTAAACTAACGGACAGGTGTCAGAGCAAACAATGGCGATTTTTCTATTACTGCTGCTGCTGCTTCCATTAAATGCGTGTCATCGGCATGTCCATGAAACGTTACAGGGTGAGTGGTGGGTGGTGGGTGTTAAAAAAGACAGCAAGACAGAGGGTTCGTATGCAGATTTTTTTTTACTTTTTATTTTTATTCTTTTGTGCATACATACATACATATGTGTATGCATGTGCATATGTATTTATGTAAGTATGTAGATATGTATGTATGTGTGTGAATGAGTTCGCTTGCACTTACCTGTTATGGCAGCCAAATTTAGTAATAATCCAATTAGTTGCTTCATTGTCGCCAATGTTTTGTTGTTGCTGTAAGTTTTGTTGGATGTTTTGGTGTTGTTAGTTGCAGTACGGTTCACTAATTCTTGTTGTTTTCACAATTTTTTTAGAGCTACGAACTATAAACGATCAATATACGTGATTACGTAGTTGGATTTTGTTTTCTGATTATTTTTTTTAACTTTTTTGATATTATTTTTTCATTTTTTGAAAAGGTTTTTTTTTTAATTTTTCATTTAAACTTTACACTTATGAAAAATACAAAGAATTAATTTTTTTTTTTAGTTATTTTTATTCTTTTTTATTATTATTATTATTTATTTATAAATATTTTATATTATATAAATATATATAACACAAAGAATACACTAACGCACGCATTAATAAAAATAATTTGTATCAATTAATTTTAACTGACACTCTTATGCTTAAAAACCGATTATTAACCAAAAAATAAATAAATAAATTGTTTTTTCTTAATCTGCCAACTTTGACAACTAACGCTTTGACGCTTGACCTCGAGCTTGTTTCTTGCCGAATTTCTTGCAAATCCTCCAACAAATTTAGTATATTAATAAACACTAAACCTTGTTAAGCCTGCTCTCATAAAGCCCTTTAATAATCCCTAAATTATATTTAGCACTATTACCGTTACACTGACTAAACACAACTGAACTAACTAAACCGACTTGTGTTGCCCGCAAAGAATATTTTCATAATTTTTCTTTTCATGCCATCAAGTCACCATCAACGTTGCAAATATACATTCATACATACATGTAAACATACATATGTGTGCACCAGTCCGTTGTATGTATGTATGTATGCATTTATCTGTGTGTTTAAGTGTTTATGTGTACATTTCCATTATTCACATTCATTCACGAAGCACTTACTATTTGTACGCAAACAACAATAAACAAGTCGCCAATAGGCCGCGTTTGGCGTTTCCTTCATTCCTTTGTGGTCGGACTTGTGTTGTTGAGCTTCTTCCGTTGCCGACAACGGTGTAGAAATTTTTGATAAAATATTTTGTTGCAAAGCATTTCACACCCTCAGCATCGCATCGCATTCAATGTTCGGCAACATTTGAGTGTGCGCTGCGCAGCGAGACTCGAAAGTGGTGTGGCTGAGGGTGGCAGCGAAGCAACAAGTGTTCATTGGTGAGTTTGGGTGAGAGCGCCATAAAAAGCTTCACGTGTGTTTGTCATAGAACTATTTACTATAAATTATAGTTGAATGTATATAACAGTAAAAATTTATAGTAGATAACTTGCTTTATGGCAAATGCATTCCAAAACCATAAAATTGTGTGAGTTGCTTGTGGAACACAGAGAAACTCTTACCCTAATTTTGTTGGTTTGTGTCAACAAAAGTTGGTTTGTGTCAACAACAGTGCCAAATTAAGCTAAGTTTCAAGCCAGAAGACATTACTGTAATTGTTTATAGTGCTTCTAGGGAATCTATAATCTGCTTCTGCATAAAACCAGAGATCTCGGAGCTGCGCAGAAAACTTATAGCAATGAGAAGGCTCAGCTTAGAACTTAAAATTCAAAAAGTTCTCTGAAAGCTTTTTTCCTCTGCTGTTTTTGTGGTCGTTTCTTGCCACAGGAAGGAATTTAAAAAGGCGCATTTTTTTTATTAACGAAATATCCGAAGTCCTTACATATTTGATGCAGTGCTTATTTTTATTATTTTCTGTTCAACAAATGATGTTATATAATTTTCAGTCCAATTTTTTTTTATTCTTGTAATAAATATTTTAAATAGCCGTTTCATATATGTTGACGGCAATCTTTTTTATCGCATGAGAGATTACTTCATCATGTCACTAGCAGAGAATTGAGTTTTCCAACCTTCGTGTCACCCCATACTTTACCGCCTGTTCATTGACATTTTGTCGGCAAACAAATTTTTCACCATTTGCGGTTAAATCCTATATGCTTTTTCATACAATTATTACGCGAGTGAAAATTTGTGAAAATGGTGATTGCAAAAGAAATACTAACAGACTACAAGGAAGTCTATGAAAAAGCTACAAAATATGTGAATGAAGAAAGTAAAAATGATCCGCCAACAGATCCTTTTCGTTCACATTACGCTGCTCGCGAATTGCTGCTACAATTGAAGGAAAATCTGAAAAACGCACTAGCCTCAGTGGTAGCTGAAGAGGCAGACGACGGACAAGATGATTTCACTTATATTGTGTTGCATGCATTCGTATGCCATGACCTTGGACGTATCTATGTGTTTACTGAAGAAATTGAAACTGGTGAACGGCTGTTGCAAGAGAGTTTAGAATCTATTGAACCGTATAAAATGAAACCCGAGGCTATTATTCCCTATGTGGGTGCACTCAATGAAATAGGCATGGTGCAAGCGAATCGTTCGGAATATAAGAAGGCTTTCGAAACACTAAACAAATCTGAACAAGCGTATAAGGAATTTCTGAGCATCGGCAATAAGGCGATATGCATCACTGACATTTTCGGCACACCCGAAGAAATTGAAGAGGGCAAAGGTACCAAAGAATTAGAGGGCCTCTACACTCTGTGCACATTTTATTTGGCACAAACTTATGGTCATTTGGGTGAGCTGGAAAAGTCAGCACAATACTGCCACCTCACATTACGACGTCAATTGGATTCCAACACTTACGAGCCCATTGATTTTGCGCTTAATGCCGCAACTCTCTCGCAATATTTTATTGGTGAAAATATGTTCAAAGAGGCACGTCATCATTTGGCTGCTGCCACGCATATAATGGCTGAGTATGAGGCCAATATGTTGACGCCAGAGCTGACTGAACAACAGCGTGCCGATGTTACAGAAACATTCAAGCATAGGTATGCCGATGTGGCACGCTGTTGGGCGAAATATGGACTGGCATTGTTAAGTGCATCCAAAGAGCGTTTGTATAATGATGAGGAAGAAAAAGTAACAAAAGGTAAAACCGATATTTCTGAATTTTATTTGCACCAAAATTTATTATTTATACGCTTTTATCTTTATAGATGTCAAACGACTCAACGTAGATCCAAATGCCTATCGTTTTCCAAGTTTGAAAATAGACTTATACGAAAATCGAGTCACAGCAGATTACTGTTTAACCTTTGATGATGCTAAACCAGTGTATCACTTTGTTTGCGACTGGCTGGACCAGGCAAAAGATTATTATAAACCCGAAACCGAAGCAACCGAATATGCAAAGGTGATTAAGGATTTTGCTGAATTATATCAGCATATAGCATTTTTCGAAGAAGATCCAGCAAATCAAGCAAAAATGCAAAAACGTCGTGCTAAATACTATGAAGATTTACTTGAATTGCTCAACCCAGTCTTCTATATGGGCATATGCCGTGAGTGCTGGTATGGTGCAGGACTCTCGTACTGTGCAATATTGGATATTAAATTAGATGCGCTAAAAGAACGACGCACACCACAACCGCAAGACCTGCAAAAGATTAACCAAACATGCCAAAAAGCAATTAAAAATTTCTTAGATTTTGCAAAATCATACACGGACAAAGACGGTGCCACGATCAAGGCCAATGCCGATGCTGAAGAGCAACGTAATGTGCTCTATGCCTACTTTCATTTGGGACGCTTACATTTTAAAATGATTACACCCGATTTGAGTGTACAATTGGAGAATATGAATAATAGCCTTAAATATTATAAACTCTTTACGGACGAATGTGCAGCTAGAAAGGAGGTAGCTGAAACACTAAATGCCGAAGTTGGTGTTTGTCGTGAAATGGTAAATTTGCTGCCGCTTAAAATTGCCAATATAAAGAAACGTTTGCCAAAGTAGATGAAAACAAAATTAATATATATGTATATTTACAATTATGACTAATTTATTTATTGCATTTAAATCATATGTGAAAATGGGCAGGTTGAGCATTTCTTTCTATTGCGTGGAGGCTAAGAGCTTCTTTTGCATGTTGGCAACGTTCGCAGAAATATAATTTTAAATTTGTTCGGATTGCAATAAATTAATTTATTTACTTAGGAACGAAATAATAACTTCTAGCCAAAGTGAGATATAAACATACACATGAAATGTAATAGTAGTTATTTCATGTAATTAATATACTACACATTTATTTAGGTGGATGCTTCTTGAATACTTAAACGATTCGTCCGTCTAAGGGCTGTGCACAAAACATTCTCTGTATTTCTGAACCTTCTAGTCATAATCTATCCACACTAAAAACAAAAGAGCTAACGTAGGAGAGCAAAAATATGTGTTCTTCAATTTATTAAAGCGAAAAAAAAAAATTAACTTATTCCAGTTATGGCCTTAAAAACTAGCCATTGCGTAACAATTCAAACCAAAAAATAACAAAAAAAAACCCAAATTTAGCATAAATGGTTTTTTAATTAAATAAATTTTATTTCATTTGAAACGATAAATAAAATCTAATTCGCATCACAAAAAAAAAATCAATTAAAATTTGTTTTTATTCTGTGCGCTCGGGATCTTCCTCACCGTTTCGAATGTGCATTTGGTTACAGCGCCCGCCTTATGAGTACTCAACTCCCTGTCGAGATTATCAGCTAAACGTCTGATGGGCATGGCAGTTATGCTGTCGAGCAGATTTTCACGCGCATACTTCACCGTCTTATCCACAATATCATCGACATTTATGCACCTCGGATCGATTTGCGAATCATCAGCCAATAATTGCATAAGCAAGCGCGTCGTCTTCTCACTTTGGAATTCATCCAACGGCAAGAGTTCAATCAGTTGCTCGAATAGACGCAACATAATGAATTGTGTCTTATTCAACACCGATTTGGTTTGTCCCAACGTAGAGAGCACATTGTGATAAATACTGCTTATCAATTCATCGGTATTCACTTCGGACGACTGGTAGTCGTAGGCGCTAAGCACATCTCGAAACATTTTCTCTAAGTTCTCCTTCGACATATGCATCAGGTATTTTTTCGGCATCATCGACTCCAATGATTGTGTGATGCAATCCAATATGCGTTCGGTCATTTTGCCCTCGAATGTGTGTGCCGCCTGTGCGAGGTAACGTGTCACTTTTTTCGCATTATTCCTTATGTTATCTGAGGTGGCGTAACGGTTGAACCATTGCGCGAAATACTTTTGTACAACTTTTCGTATGCGATCCATAGTGAATTGATCGGGTTCCATGCGTTGCAAGTAGGCTTCCGGCGCCAAGGTTTTCGAACATGTAACGCCGTCATCTTGTTCATCGGTCTTCTTGATTATGTCACCTTTAACGACTTCGTGGAAGAGTTGGAGTGGCTTGGATTTCAGACGTAGCGTGCAGATTTCACGCTCCAGACACTACAAACGGAAGGAAGGTTGATATCCGAATAAAAAGTTATATATTCTAAGGATGAATTCATGATAGTTGAAAATTTTAAGATATACTTTCAGGTGTATTGTAAAGAAAATTATTCCCCTTCCACAGGAAGCAAACTACCCCCAAGGCCTAAAAGTTTCTTTAAACCACTATAACTACAACCGAAACTTGGACGGATAAGAGAATGAGTTCACTTCCAAAGCGGGGTTAGATCGCCGAAAGAATGACAGCCCTTAGCCATATGAAATCCGGGTCAACTCCGGTGCGTAGACCGGCTGTCGTGAGAATGACGTACTCGGAGTTAAATCACTGCCTCGAAAGAACCGCGTAATACTGGCGTAACTTAAGTCTGGGTATTGTAGAAAGTCCAATTTCTTACCCAGACTCGGCTCCAACGTATGTCCTGCATGTTATGAGTCCTCGCATGACACTAACCACGTTTTTAGAGGCGCTCTAAAAGCGACGCATCTAACCCCCCTCTTGCCCTGGTTTTGAATTTCAAACTAAACCCGTGTAATACCAGGCTTTATCAGTCAAGCAGCAGCATGAAAGTAAGTCTACATAACGAACCCCGTTCAAATTACCTCAATTGTTTCCTTTTGCTCTTTATGTATCTGCGTAAGTTTCTCCACGTCACGATCCAGATTGATTTTATGGGGTTGCATCCAGCGCTCAAAGTTTTTCTCCTGAGCTTTCAAAATCGAATATAAAACGTTTCTCTCTTCATGCAAAACTGTTAATATATTTAATTTCTCAGAGTGCATCTTCGTCTCACGTATCAGTTCCTCCTCTAAATTTGCTAGTTCGAGCTGGAAATAAAATACAGATTATAAAATACTTCAAATTTCCGCTGTCGAGCTTCTTTACACTCATGCGTTACCTTTTTCTTTGCAATCTCTTTTTCGATCAGTCGAAATTCCTCTTCGGCCGAGGTTTCTAAATCAAATACATAGCGACGCAATACCTCCTCCTCCAATTCGTCCAAATTGATCACCGTACCGAATTTCTTAATCATCTCCTGTTTGATGGCACTCTCCAGTCGGGTAATCTCACCGCGCATAAAGTTTATATCCGTATTCATGCGACGCAAATGCACCACATTGATACGATGCATGCGCCGAGTCTCCTGCGTTTCTTCATTCAATTGCGAGACACGATCTTTGAGCGCCACCAAGTGATTGGCATCGAAAAGTATGGCACGACTTAAGTCCAAATAGGTGTCACCGGGTTTAAAGTGTTGCAACTGATCCATTGACAGTATAACGGAAATGTTAATTTTGTTTAATTCCTGCTGACGCTTACGCTGCAAACGGAACCCGGAAAAAGTTAAGTTATACGAGCACGAGTTCAATATCTAGGCGGAGTGATTTATCCTACAAAATAAAGATAAGACATTACAGATATTTTCACTTACCCGAAATACCAGCAAAGTTTCCTTTTCTCGTGCATACACCTCTTCGTGGAACTTCATTGTCTTGGAGAGTTCAGCTACATCCGCTCGACGTTGCTCAATACCTTTTTGTACCTCCATCAGTACTTTTTCGAGCGCGTGTCGCTCAGCGCGCAACTGAAAAGCCAAATCGTACGTACTCCGCTCCAGCCCTGTGGGACAGTGACTTTCATCTAGCCGTATGGTTGTCATGTCTGTCGAATCTATACTTTTAGCATCCGCATCCTCATCTTCAGTAGACGATTCATCACTCGATGAAGACTCCGATGATTCTACAGAGGCGGAATACTATTATTATATTTTTGTGGCCAGACATTTTACTGACGATAAGTGATTCTTGCACAGATTTAACTTTCAATAAAAACTTGTCGGTAAAATCTCAACGACCCCCTCGAAATAGTGCCAATGGTTGTGAGTCTAATCCACACTCCGAGTGGGAAGTCGCGAGATGGATTATTAAATATGATTAATTCTAATTCTCTTAAATAAAATAAGACCCACTCTAAGTGCAACTGTAAAGGAGATTGCCAACCTCTTTGTCCCACTCAACCTGAGATCCCCTGTTCCACTTACCATCGTCAGCCTTCGGCGGCTTTGGCGGACGCCATCTCTTCTTAAATATGCGACGCAAAAAGTCAAAGAATTTATGACCCTTGCAGGTAGACATGAATTTCTGCTGCACGGACAATATCTGCTCATTCAACTTATCCACATTCTTTTTGTAATCTTCAATTTGTCTATTTTTCGTATTAATCACAGCTTGCATTTCGTTGCGTGTCTTCATCGCCTCGTCGGCGTTAAATAGCAATTGATTTTCGATCTCCTCGCTGTCACGTAAGATATTCAATTCCTGATTCAATGTGATCATAAAACAGTGCATGTACTCAGCTTCGTACATGGCTTTGCAGCGGATCGCAATCATTTCCTCTAGATCGCGATCGAAATCCTTAACACGATTCTTTACCTTCAAGACCAAACCATTTTGTTCATCAATCAAATCGATGAGCCACTGATAACGTGCCACAGACAACCAGGGCGCAAAGCCATCTTCGTTACGCTCAAAGAATTCCGATTCTGTAAAACCCGGATAACTGTCGATTTCTTGGAGTATCTCCTTTATATCCGGCAAGTCTTCAACTTCAAAGGCATGCAAAGATTTGTACAAAGATTGTTCAGTTCTATCGCGTACCGAAAGCTTTTCTTCGAAGGCAGGTGGCGGCGGTTGCGGTAAGAGCTCCTCAACCTTTTTCTCCAAATACAAGATATCAGCTATCTCTATGCCACAACCGGGTTTGCAGTGTTCCTGGAGGTTACGTTCGGGATACTCCTCCGCAAAATCAATTTCTCTTATCGGCACTAAATACTCGCGATTGGCGAAGGGTAAGTATTCATGCAAACGCTTCAAACGTTTACGTGCCTCCTCTATATACTCATACAGATACCATTTGCGTTTACGCAATTGAAAGAGTTCCTTATTGAAACGATCCAAGGTTATGAAATGTGACTGCCTTGCATTGACCACTTCGATATATTTATACGTTACTGTTTCGGTAGCGCGTGGCTCATAGTCAAAACCAATTTTCAACTTATAATCACCAAGATTCTTCTCAGCGTCGGCGATGCGGCGCTCGTCGTCGGGATGATTCTTATTCGGATCGGGTTTGCAAAGTTCCATACGCTCCCAATTGTATATACGATCGATTTCGTATAGTTGACGCGAACGGTAGCGTCTTAGCAGACGTAACATTTTCTTACTGAAACGCGGAATTATTGCATTGGGATTTCGACCGAAGAAGAAACTCTCTTCACCGGGTTCGGGCATACTGGGTATCTTCTCCTCGGCGACAATCGGTTCAATGGACCTATGGAAGAAACGTGGATCATTAGAAAGTAGGTGGTATACATTTATTGACTGTATTCGGAATGCGTAGAGTGCGAAAGTCCTGTTTTATGTATTGGAATGATGGACGGAATTTTAATTTATTCTTTTCAATACTTCAATCAATAAACTGGAAGATAGTGACCAAGAAATCAAATTCTGTGCCTTCGACGTTGACCTCTGAGTCGTCTAAATGTTGGCCGTAGTAGCTTTTCGGCGGAGGCTTAGTATAAACTGTAGGTCGCCCCATTTTGTTGGAAAACCCTCAAGACACATACCACAAATTGGAGGGGGAACTGAGCTGAAAATTACTCCTTCCCGTAAAATTAAGCTTTAGTTGGGACGAAAAGAATTCGATTTTTCAAAGATTTGAGTTTTGTCAACTATCTGGTTAACACACGTTGTCCGAAAATGAAGCCCAAAATGAGCAAAATACTAGAAACGAAAAAGTCGTTCTTTCACCAGTCAAATTATTGTAGCTATTTCTGACCTCCAAGCGAAAAGTCATCGGCCGTTCAGAGGCCGAAAATCACCGATGTTGTGACGATCCTTCGCAAAGAGTATCGTTTAGTTCAACGCTATAAAGCTTCATATTTTATGGTTTTCGAAAGACGTAGGACTGGCCAAGAAGTTTAGCTTCCGCCGCTTCTATTTAAGGTGCTGGAGGTTAAGAAATCTGACAGGAATATTTTTACGGATCTTAGGTGGGAGGCATAGGATTAATTTTGAATATTTTAGCCTCAGCTCGGAGTTAAAGTTAAAGTCTACAGTGGGCTCGTGCCATCTTACATGTAAGTGCTCAAATAAATGTCTTAAAAACAATCTTACTCAGTTTCTGTTGGCATTTTTGCCTCTTCCTCACTTGGTAAGCATGGTTTGGAGTAAAAATATTAATCGGAAATATGTAGAAAACGCTCAAAGAAAGTTAGAGGATGCCTAGAACTCAGACTCAGAACTCTTACTTAGATGCAACTCACCGACGTTTCGCGGCCTCCATGCTCAAACGTTCCTCGATCTCCATTTTGATTTTTTGAAATTCCTCACCAAGTTTTTCCACACGGAAGGAGCTCACCTTAATGTCCTTACTGTAGAAAAAGAATTAAAATAATTGAATACAAGATCATATACTATACGCTTGTATACAAGATCTCCCTTACTTTACGCCACTCACAGTGATCGGCACATGCTCTAGATTCTTAAGGAAATGATTGTACAATTTAGTTTTACCAACATCGGCCACCTCTAGATCGTACGCCAAATCCTCACGTACATCATCCAACTCAGCTTGCAGTTCGTCCTTAATCTGTTTGGTTATACGCTCATCGAGTAGCAGACTACGATGTGGCAACATCAGTTCTTCATCCAAAGTCATCATATCGCTTTTGATGTCATTGTATTTCACTTGCAATTCACCGATTTGTGCTAAAACTTTCCGATCGTGTGCCGCGGCAGCCTCCTCCTTTCGTTTTATCTCTGCATAGATTTTCTCTTGTTCCAATGAAGGATGCGCCGGATCGTCTATGTCTTCGGCATGGAGATCTTTCAAATTTGCATAAACCACCATTTCTAATGGACCACCTTGTACCACTTTCGGTCCACGCCAGTTGTAACTGAAAATATTTCCATCGTGTCCAATACTAAATATATAATTTCCATCATAGCTTGGCAGAATGCGTTTAATAATCCCATTGTAGGAATCGTGCATGGGGAAGACGCGATAGTCGCGCAAATCGGTGAAATCATTTGGGTTGATGCGATTTATGCGTAGCTTGCCATTGACCAAACCGAAAATCAGATAGTCCTCGCTGCAAATGAATGATAGAGGGACATACGGATTATTTTAGGTTAAGAAGTGGTTTTGGGATTGAGAAGAGCGAAAAAATTTGAGCCAGAGTAAGCCCATTGTGATGCGATGAAAATGATGAGCCACAACGGCTATTCCCCACTAGACTTCTTTATAAATTGTAATACGTCGCTTACTTTAGCGAAACGATGAAAGCTATGCTCAAAAGCGATTCCGACATCCTGGAGTTCACGTCTGCTAAAGCGGAGTACAATTTTTGGAAGATCGCCTCCTCCTCCTCCTCATCATTTGTGCAGCTTCCGCAGCATCGGCTGAAAGCAGTCTTTAGCTTTTCCCTCAATATTCCAGTTACCTTTGAATCGTGCTCCTTTTCAGGCAGTCAAAGCAATTAGACCTTCACCGGCCCTATTTTGGCCAAGCTTGCTTCTCCTTACTTCAGAACGAATGATTTCCGTGAGTAGCAGTTTGCATGTTGTGGGGTGTACCAATGCGTTCTTTTACCGGCAGAGTTCTATTTTGTTATACCCTGACTACTAAGCTATTCTGCCCATCAGTTCCTCTCTGTATTTCTTTAGTTACAACACAAACAAGAAATAACCTGTTCTGTCCATCTCCTTAAGAGATCTGTGAGAAGCCAAGCACTATTTGGCAGTTTAGATTGGCCAAGTCTAGGCTTTGCAATGCTGCCGGAATATTACTGGATATGAAGTACTCGCTTCCCAGGTGATTTACAGCTTCCAGGATAACAGAATTTTCGACTTTGAGTACAATTTAGTGGACCGACAGGTGAAATGGGCGCTTCAATGAAGAGTTACTAGGAAATAGATCCCCACAGACTCTAATAACAAGTTTCTGACCATCATGATAAGATTTGGAACATTTGCTTGCACTTCAATTTAACGGATTAGCAGAAGTCTTGAGAGAGGAGAGGGGAGAGAGAGAGAGATCTGTTCGGTTGGGTTTTAATATACGAAACTCCCTAACTCATAAGGTATTCAAGGGATGTATAAAGTTTTTTGGCACTAGTTGGATCCGCTAAAATGAGAGCAAAGTTCTTAGATTACGACTTTGACCGATTAGCCTTTGGAAGACTGATAGGTACAGTTTCCCATGAAAAAAGGTTGTCCGTTTCAATGACTTATCGGTGATCTGAAGGGCCAACTGGATTTATTTTTGTCACAAGGTCGAAAGCAAATACTGTGAAGAAATATTGCTGCCCACAGCTAACTTACATTGTCAAGTACGAGTGTATCTCACAATCATCACCATCCGCAATCATGGTACACTTATAAGGTTCATCATAACCGAAGAGTAGCTCGTAAATGTAACCAGCATCAAAGCCACCTATCGAAGACCAAATGGTGCCATCACTTGTATAACGTAGCCAAATTACCGGATTGGGTACAGCGGGTATGTGTAAAGGTTCCTCTTCTTCTTCCTCCTCTGAGTCGGCTGTTTAGAAGAGCGAGACAATATTGAAAATGTTTACCTGCAAATTCATATACGAACTAGTTACCCAGCGCAGTCTCGAGGTCAATTTGCAAACCCGGATTGGCGGCCTTCAGTTTCTCGACTTCTGCCAGCTTGCGCTGTCGCTTCTTCTCTTTGCGTCTCTTGATCTTTTCGCGCCTTTGATCACGTCTTATGCGACTCTTAACCGATACAAAACGTGTAGACTTCAACTTATGCGCATCGGTTATGTTGTAGGAGAGGAAAGTTTGTTCGTCTGAGACGCGGTTTGGTATGGCATACTCGTAAACTTCACCGGTTTTGCAACCCATCAAAATCGTTGAAAACTGTGAGTGGAAACTTATTAAAACTAAAACTGAAATATGAGGTGTGAGGTGTGTGACAGACCTCATCGTTTCTCCAATTGAAGCAATTCACAACCGCGCCCAGCGTCACGAAGCCCATCGGCTTAATATGCACCATATTATTGTCTTTATCCTTAATATTATACACAAATATCGATTTATCCGCGGAGGACACCACCAGGCAAGTTTGTCTGGGGTTGACGGTTAACTTTGTAATCGGACCCACATGCGCCTTTATGGCACGCACTAAATGCAAATTCATGTTTCTACCACTACGCACTTCCAACACCAATTGCCGTAGTATGCCATCTTCAAAACCCGCAACTATATCCAAACCAGTGCTCGAGATCTTCGTAGAGAGCCAAAGAAAATCACTGCCACGGGAAATGAATTTCTTTTCCAACACTAAGGTGTTTGTCGAATAATCGAAGAGAAATATTTTCCCATCTTCACCCAGTGTCATTAAATGTGTTGAGACTGGGCTTGTTTGTGCGGCGATTACTTTACCGCCGTGGCAGGAATAGAGTTTTTCCGGTGTTTTCGGCACATCGTAGGTGTTGAGGTCACAAAACCAAATGCCACCGCTGCCGTCCTGTAAGGAAAGAATGGATGAAAATTTTACGATAATTCTATGGTCTAAAGTGATTAAGTATACAAGACATCAGTAATAGCCGCAATAATTTAAGAAAGCTCCGCGGCCAGTTTCTTCGTTCTTTAAAAGAAAAAAAGAGTGAAAATTCGACTCGAAAAATGACATAAGAGGAAGAGGACCGTAACATCTTGTATATTGCACACAGAACCCCAAGATTTTTTGAATTTCCTTCAAATGGCGTCAACTAAATAGATTTTATTTAGCCTTTTTTATTATTTTATTTTATATTTCATTTTGTTTTATTTAATTTTTTTATAATTATTTTTTTATCTATCATATTTTTTTAATAGATTTTATTTAATTTTTTTTTTTTTCATTTTACTTTTTTTTAAATGGTTTTTTTTTAATTGATTTTATTTTTTGTTATTTGATTTTATTTTATTTTCAATAATTTAATTATTTTTAATTGATTTTATTTCATTTTTTTCTCATTTTACTTTTTAAGTGGGTTTTTTTTGTTTTTTTTTTTTAATTGATTTAATTTTTTTATTTGGTTTAATTTTATTTTTTAATAATTTAATAATTATTTATTCTATTTTCAATTGTTTTTTTTATTGCTTCAATTTTTGTAATTGTTTTTTTTTTTAATTGGTTTAATTTAATTTTTTTATCTGTTTCTATTTTTTAATACTTTTATTCTTTTAATTGTTTTTTTTTTAATTGGTTTAATTTTTATTTTTTAATTGATACTATTTTTTTATTTGATTTTATTTTGTTTTTAATTGATATAATTATTTTTTAATTGATTTAGTTTTTTTGCTTTTATTTTTTTTATTTGCTTCTATTTTTAATTGTTTTTTTTTTTTTGTAAATTGGTTTATTTTTCTAATTCATTTTATTTGTTTACTTATCAACTTATTCTAACTTTTTTAACTGATTTTATTTTTTAATTGATTTAATTATTTTTTTATTTTTTTTTTTAATTGCTTTAATTTTTTAATTGCTTTTATTTTTTAATGGTTTTTATTTATATTTTAATAAATTTTTATTTCTACTTTTTTTTATTGATATAATTTTTTTAATTCATATTATTTTTTATTTTAATTTATTTTATTTCAACTTATTCTTTTTTTGAATTTTTTTTTTAAATTTAAAATATTTAATTTGATTTCATTTTATTTTTTATCTTTATATTAATTTCATTTAAAGTATTTTATTTTTAATTGATTTTATATTTTTTTTTGCTTCTTTTTTCTGAATTGATTTTATTCTTATTTGCTTCTATTTTTCCTAATTGTTTTTTTCTTTTAAATTGGTTTGATTTTTTTAAATTCATTTTATTTTGTTTAATTGATTTTATTTTTTAATTGATGTAATAATTTTTTTATATCACTTTTTTAATTCTTTTAATTGTCTTTATTTAGCTTTAAACTTATTTTTATTCTTTTTAAATTATTTTATTTTTTTTAATGAGTTAATTTTTTTAAATTAATTTTATCTTAATTTATTTTACTTTAGTTTATTTTTTTTTATTTAATATATTTTAGTTTAATTTAATTTTTTTTTGTATTTGTTTTAATTTACTTTTATTTTGTTTTTCTTATTTGTTTTAGTTGGTTATTATTTTTTATTTTTATTAATTAATTTTTTATTTTTTTAATTGCTTTTATTTTTTTAATTGCTTAAAAAAATTGATTTGATTGATTGATTTTATTTTTTTTAATTAATTAATTTTTTTTTTTAAATTTATTTTATGATACTTCAATTCATTTTTTTATTTTTTTTATTTAATATATTTTAGTTTAATTTTGTCTATTTTTTATCTTTGTGCTATTTTCTTTTATTTTATTTTTTTGCTTTTATTTTTTTATATTCTTATTTGTTTTAGTTGGATATTATTTGTTATTTTTTTTTAATTATTTTTTTTTAATTGTTTAAATTTATTTTATTGGTTTTTATTTATCTTATAATTTATTTTTAACTTTTTCAATTTATCTTTTTATACTTTATTATTTATTTATTTTAGTTTTAACTTTTTTTTTTTTATTTTAGAATATTTGTTTTCACACGTTTTGATAAAAAAAAATATATAGATTTGTAGTCCTACCTGCGCATAATAGCTAAAATCACTTCTATCGAAAGGCTTGATCTTCTGCAGCCCACGAATTTCGCAGTCACCAACTTTGAATTCATAAATCGGCTCGATCTCCACAAAGCGATCCTCATCCGGCGGATCCGCCAAATCGACTGTTTCCCAATACCAAATACGCACAAAACCATCCATGCCGACCGTCATCACCTCACCTTCATCCATGGTGATGCGCGTAATCGGTTTGGTATGACATGGCTTGCGACCCTTGCGTGTAATCTCGAACTTTATTAGGCCAGCCTCCCACAGCAGCATATTACCCCATTCACAGCCGGAAATGACATTCTCATCGGGCAGCATGTAAATTGCATAAATGTCGCTAAAGTCCGTTTTACCAAAGCGACCCAGGTCACCCTTCAACTTCAAACCTGTAAAGGTATTGGCCATTTTCCAGAATTTAATATGACTCAGTCCACAGGAAGCCAAAAGTATGGGATTGAAGTGCGAGAAATGTACGTGAAGTATATTATTTTGAAAGGACTTGGAGCGCAGCAGCACGTCACCAGTCTGCCAACGCCAAATTGTGAGCATAAAATCGGGAAAGCCGGCCTGTGAGGCGAATAACTCGCCTGTGCTGTTGTACGAACCGCAAGTGAAGCAAGCTTTGGCGGCATTCTCAAGCTTAATGCGTACACCATGTGAAGGATATTCATATATGAATATGGTGGGCTTCACGCCATTCTCGGCGACTGTGAGTAGATGTATAAAGTCGGGATGCTCGTTGCGCTGGAAGGAGTGTAGTCGTTTAGTCGTTTAGTGGAAGTAACTCAGTAACTTGAGTTTTGTAAATTGCCAACAAACCGTTATGAACCCAATACCGCCACCAAAGACGGTCTTCCTAAATGTCACCTTACGTGTGGGTATATCAAAGTAATGCAAATAATCGCCAGACGCAAACACCAATGTACGCTCACCAAGTAGCACCAAATTGAAAAAACGTTTACAGTCGTAGCCGAAGGAGTGGCTGGCAAATATTATAAAAAATATTTATGTATGTACATACGTGTATATATGTATATTAAGGAGCACCATTGGCATCACTTACTTCAAGTCAATGATATCTTCTCCAAAGGATGGCTCAATTTTTTTTATATTTTCGGTTTCTTCTTCCTCCTCCTCCTCCTCCTCTTCTTTCACCTCTTGCTCGGACATATTTTTCAAATTTTCCTTTGGTTTACTTGTTTTGTTCTCAATTACTAATTATTATTTACTCAGAAAGAAAAATATTTTCGTTCCATTTTTCTTTTTCAAAATATAAATTTTTATGGCATTGAGAATGAAAGTAGCTACATAAGAGCATGAAATGAAATGCCGAAGCGGAGTTACGAGCACAGAAAAAATTTGTTTATATGTTGCCAAGCATTTTTTGCTCGAGTTGCTCAAGCAGAGATAAGGGAAAAATGTTAAGCAAGAACACCCCCTCCCTCCCCTCCTGCGGGTTAGGGGTTCGAAAATTTGCAGCAGTAAGAGTGTGCCTGTCGTAAGGGGGGACTAAAATCCAATAGTTCCCGCGATAGTGGGGTCTTTATACCGGCACGACCCGTATTTTTTTCGGCCAAGGACTGTCACTCGCACAACATTTCCCAAAAATAAATTTGAAGAATATTTTTACGGTAACAACAACAACAACAACAACAACGAAAAGTTAAAATATTCTTTTCCATAATTTATTTTTCCCTTTTTTTTGATGAAAAAAGGTTTAAATAAATATATTTTGTTGCTTTTATTAATTTTTTTTTACTTTTATTGTTGTATTTAAAAATATAAGAAAAATATGTGCAAAAAAAAATTATAAAAAAATAATAAAAGAAATTATTATGAAATAATATATTTCAGCGAGTAGAATTTGAACTCGTGTAAAAGCGAATAACATCAAAAAACTAATTCGGAACTACGCCGCAGAGCTACTGAAAAAATTGGCACTTCGGCATATATGCCGGAATAAAAACTGCTTCAAAGTATATAGTTTTTTGTACGTCTTGGACCTAAGCTTGGCCTTAATAATTAATTAATTATATTTTTTAACGTCATTAAAGTGAAAAAAAAACATCAAAAAATGTAACTTTATAATTGCAATGAGCATTATGCAATAAATTTATCGTTTCGCTGTTTCAATTGAGGTTCAGGACGTAGAAAATTTCATGATCTTCAAGTAATGACAACAATTTTCGATTTCAGTCTACTACAAGAGGCCGTAGGCTTGGAGTTGTTGGGCCATGTTTGTCGCGCAGAGGTCGGCGGAAAGCCATTATTTTGAATTTCGACTTTTTTTTGCCGTTTTAAAATCTCAAATAATAAACAAAAAATTTAATAGCCAAAACCGGGAGTTCGTACGCCTCTTCATTCTGCCAAGAAATACAATACAAACTTTGCCTGATTTTCGCCCAATATCAGGGGTTAAACAGTGCGCACGCGCTTAATGATCTCAAATTTCTAAACTCTTTTAGATTTAAATGCGAATTATATTCATTGAAATCACTTGGTTTGAGGACATTTGAGGAAAATTAATTTTTATTAATATTTTATTTTACTTTTTTATTAATGCTTTAAGCAATGTAGTAAGAGTATAGTGATTTAAAATCCCTTTTAGGAATCTTGTAATTGATTCGTTTGGTTAGAAGGCCAAAGCAAAGAAATAAATGTTAACATAGATAAATTAATTGCATACGATTTCTGTGTTTTTAGCAGAAGATCACTTGTCTGCCTCTGTTAACAAAATTAATTTTGCGGCTGTTATTTAACAGCGTGTTGAGTTCGTTTTCTGAGCGTTTTCAGAAGATGTCAGAGAACTTATAAGTGGTGTCATTATTATAAATTCTCTGATTAAGTTTGTTTAATAATCGGGAATGTAAAATTTTTCCTTCTAGAATTTCTTAATTTGAAATTTATGAATTTCGGCAAGGTGTTTTTCGAAATGATACAGTTCTTAATTTCAGAATATTCCAAATAGTTTATTCAAAATATGTACATACATACATACATATTTACGTAGTAAATGTGGTATATAAATTCATAATTATATTATCTTCAATAATTCTCTCTATAACTAATAATTAAATTTAAATAGCTTAACTTAGCTTCTATGATTTCATGAATAAATGCGTTATATATCGGTGCAGGTGGTTGATAATGACTCCTCCTATATACCGTTACGGTCTTCAGGCCGTGTCTCACTGTAAAATCCCAGATTCATGGTAGGCACCAATTGACTATAGAAAGACATATCGGACGCAGTCGGGCGTTGCTGATTGCTAGATAAATCCTTTGGTGCCATTGAAGGTAGAATTGGTGGCGGTCCAACTGCACCTGCTGGTGTTGTGACTAAATTGAGAGCACCGGCAGTATTTGGCCCGCCTGCTAAACTCAAAATATTAGTTGTAGGCGCATTTGTTAGTCCCGCCGCAGCACTGATAGCAGCCTGTGTAGCTATTGCCGCATTCTGTTGTAATTCATGCATTTTCATGTGTCTTTCATACTCATCGTGTTTGGAGAATTGTGTACGGCAGATATCACAAGGATATTGCGGCGCATGGAATTCCAATTCATGACGGGCGAGTTTTTCGCGTCGATTGAAACCTTTACCACATTGCTTGCATGTGAACAGCGTATCTAGATGCAGTGCTTGATGTCGTTGTAGGTCACGTTCGCGAGTGAAAGATTTCTGACATATAGTACAGGTGAATGAGCGCGAGTGAGATGACTTGTGGGTTGTCGGCTTGAGAGGTCGTTGTTGAAGCTGCGCCGCTAATATACTATGCTGGCGATGTTGGTCCTGCGATGGTGAAGATTGTGCCATCTCCGAGTCACCATATGGATTCACTGCAACAACCATGTTTTCCGTTTGTCCCGCAGCACTACCATCAACAGCTTTAAAGCTACTGCCATTGCTTTGATTGAGCGGAAGTTCCGCATCCTGCCGATGTTGTGTTTGTTCATGTATATGAAGTTTATCTTTGCGAGTGAAAGTGCTTGGACAACGACTACACTGAAATGTCTTGGAATTTGAGTGTGAACGTATGTGACGCATTAGCTCCTGGGCACTGGAGAAAGAACGTGGACAACGAGTGCACACATGTGGCTTAACACTACTGTGTATGCGTATATGTTTTGTCAAATTGGTATTACGTGAGAAACTCTTAGCACAAACTGGACATGAAAACGGTCGAACCCCAGTATGCACAATTGTATGCTTCTTTAAATCTGAACGACGACAGAATCCTTTCTTGCAGAACGCACATACGTATGGTCTCTCAGGATCGTGCAATTCCTTGATATGATATATTAAGTTTTGACGGCTTGATGTGCGTTGTGAACAGAAACTACAAACATAGGGTGCTGCACTGTCATGTTGTGACTCGTGTTCTTGACAATCCGCTTGCGTAGTAAACGCCATATCACAATACTGGCAAAGATATGTATTTTTAATTATTACTTCACCACCAATAAATGAATCGTTGCCGGCGGGTACAGCAAATGAAGAAGAGGTGTTGTGCGATGGCTGTGAGTTTTCTATGTTATTCAAAACATCCATGGGTGTGGGTAATGTTGACATTGCTAGCGAATTGTCCCTTTCATTCTCCGGTTGATGTGCTGAATTCGAAACTGAATTAGGTACCGTCGGTATTGACGAGATTTGCTCCTCAGCCTCGGAATCCGACTCCATAGAAAATTCATCTTCCGAGCTTTCGTAATCTTGATTGGGGTCAATTTCAGTAATAATGCAGTCATCTTCAGGCTCAAAATTGCCAGGATTACCATTAAGGCCTGGTCGTTGATCTGCACTAGTTCTAGTTATGCTGCTTTGCTCTAACCAACGCTGCAACTCAGTCTCGCATCTCTGCACATTTTCCCTAAAATCAGCAAATGCCTCTATTGTTGCAAAACAACGCTGGCATATGCTGCTCGGCAGCGCTGATGATTGTCGAAACTGCAGAGAGAAAGACTTTGTTATATCACTGTTAGCCAAAACGCCATTGACTTTGCTCACCTTTACGCCTAACAATTCAAACAAACGGTCTACCATCGAAATTTTATTCTCCGCCACATCATTTTCAGGCGCATCAATCACAGCTACCTGCGTAGATTCCTCCTCAAATATATTTACAACAGATTTATCATGACGCAAACAAAGGCGGCAAAGACGAGTGCCAGTGTCCAAAGTTGAAGGCTCTGCTGGCGCTGCAACGACTTCGAGATCTACCATAGCCTACGTATTATTTAGCCACAGTTTTTATTTCACAACACTCTTTTTCTACGTAACCAAATTAAGTACTTCTCTGTATATCTTGTAAATTATGCGCTGCTCAGTTCAACCGCATACAATTTTTTGTCGGCAGTAAATAGTAATAAATGAAACAAACGCTTCGCTTAAAAAGGGAAATATTACGTGAAAAAAAAAATAAATTACGACAGGGTTGTTATCGACTACAGGGTTGTATTTTGATATGGCCAGTTTGTTTATATACTACGACTGCACTTAATGTATTTCTATAGCATGCATGATTAGATATAATTAAAATTAGTATTTCGTGTGTCACGATCCTTCTTATATCAGTAAGTAATTGATCCTAATCAAAAAACTAGCTTCGGCAAAAAAATACCCACTAGAATGCTGACGTTGTGTCCGAACGACTATGTAGCTTAAAAATAAACCCGAACAGAATCAAACTATTTATCGGAACGACAGTCAATTGCCGCTCTCTATGCTCTAGAAATACACAGGAAAAGCTGAATATAATATCTGTATGTTTGCATAGAATATGAAGAGCCGAAGAATACCTTATAGAATATAATGGCAAGATAGATAACAATTGGCCGAGCTAATAATCCAATTTGTGGTTTTGCGTCTTGATGTTTTTCCAACAAAGAGCCTTACAGTATTTAAAAAATCGGACTTAGGTAGAGGCCAATGTGGTAAGAAAAGAAAAATATCAAAATATTCTTTATTGTTTGTGATCGACAACCTTCCATGGTAGTATGCGAGCTTTCAGCGGGTATATACGACTGGATGTGAGCACCGCAGCAGCTAGTAGTAACACCGACGTATGGTGAAGTAAAAAATAAGTAAAAAGGATTAAACTGTGTCTCTGCAAGTGCGTTTTACTTTACGGTAAACAGTTCTGCTGTATAGTACAGGAGCTGTAAGACCTATTTGGTGTCTTTTATTTAAAAATCCAGTAATCGAACCCGAGGAATTCTTAAATAATAGTAGTAATTAATTAATAAAAATCGTGAAAATACTGTGACAAAAATGCAAATACGAATATCAGATGAAAGAGAGAGACCAATAACTACAGCATGTTACAGAGCGCGCGAATCGAATGTTCGTTGCCGAGAATATTGCAAGAAAATCTTTTTTATATTTAAGTGAAGTCTCAATTGTTTATAGAGCTCGTTAATGTGCTTATAGTAGTATAAACTGTATATTTATAGAGAGCTGTGCAGTTACAAATTTGTTGGTTTCCAATAAAAAAGCTGAAAAACAAACCTTGGAACTTTTATTTAACAATTCAGTGATCGAACTCGAAGGGCTTTGGGATTCATCGAGGATTATTAAGCGAAAATCGTTGCAATACAATCTTCGGTATGACCCTAATTAATTTTCGCTATTTACGTTCTTAAAATATTAGATAGGTCAAATCTACCTGACAAGCTTTTAGCAACTCTGGTGCTAACGGACAACAGGGGTCGCTATTAAAAGTTTTGTGGCACAATAATTTTGTAGATAAAGACATTTCCCGCTGACCACCGGAAATGTGTGTAGTGTTTAGTGCAAAAAAAATCAAAGAAAATTCAACGGTGGTGCTGTGTGTGGCCTGCAATCGTTCCGGGAACACGTATCCCGCAACGTGATAAATAGTTGTAAGGAATTTGTAAAACGCTTCGTATGTTTACACATAAGAGTTTCCACACGGAACTGTTGCACGCCCATTCATGCCATAGCGTTTGCGGGAAGGAATGCAGCAACGGTAAATAAGTTAATTATACACACATACATATGACATTGCTAGCGGCTACGATGCTTCTGTTTTGCAGCCGATATAGCACAATAGTGGGCGCGTGTATCCACCACAGTTTCTCTATCCATCATATCAAGAAAGAAAAGAGAACGAAACAATAAAGACAATGCCAATGAAAAGCGATCGACGGTTGAACGATAAGTGTCTGTAGAGCAAGTGGTCACAAGTGATGCAATTAAATGCCACGCACGTTGTATTGCGTGCAACCTTTTAAGGATATTCAATTATAATTCGATTAAAATGCTTCACACATGATCATGATTATGAAGCAAACAGGTAGCGATGACGTCTATTAAATGGCAGGAGGCATCACAAGAAATCGTAGCATCAGCTGAGGCATCCTGCTGTGACACATCGCTATGTGCCAATATACGTATGTACATGGATGGATGATGGTGTAGCATGAACAAGAGCATACGGACATATTTGTAAAATATACATTTGTTGCAGTGTTTGTGTGTGTGTATACATATAAAATAGTGCTTTAATGTTGTCACTTAAAATCAAACCATAAATGATGGTTGTCCATGACAAGCTGTATCAGTGCAATGAACGAATTGCATTGAATTGACGAATTTCCCCATCAAATAAATACCCATATGTATGTACATACGAGTACATACAAATGTGTAAAGTGCAGATGATGGTTAGCGCGCGTGTGTTAGTGCGTTCGAAAGTGTGCATATATGAAGAAGTAATTAATATCGAACTTTTATTTATACTCAGCGCACGATTGTACTGACAACTTTATCTCGCAAAATATGGCAAAAAAAAAAAAAATGTGTATGTACATATGTGCATATATTAAAAATAAAAGCCGAGAAATAATCAATTAAGAGTATGATGTGAAAACAGTTAATTGCTGGTAAGTGAAATAATTGTATAATAAATTATTAATATAGTATCTACACTTCGAGTTTAACTTTCCAAGCTGATAGAGTGTACCTCAGTACCATATCGCTGCGTAGTTGTTTTTATTTTCGCTTGCATAGCAGTGGCTTTGAGAAAACGTGAATCTTATGTCCGCCTGAATGTTTACTATGCGAAGACCGGAAAACTTTCACCTTGTTTCCTGTAGAAAGTCCTCACAACCACAGCTGAATTGCTTTTGGTGATTTGTGAAGTATTTATCCCTACTTTAAAAAATACTCAACAATAACATTCTAGAGGATTAATAGATGGCTCTGACTGAATGAGTTCTATAAGTTTGCACACATTCCTCCCTTCTTCTCATTAATTGAGGTAGTCATCGCTTACGCGATTAAAACCGAGTCACAAAAGCGCATTAGTGTGTAGAGTGTAGATCTTCCTCTTACTCTGCTTCCAGAAATAAGTACTGTTTTGAATAGTTTCAAAGCTGGAGAGCTTTCGCCCACTCTAAGTCAGCACAGACTCTGCTGTCTTTTAATTCGCTGAACTATGACAATACTGTCATATATTTTAGACAGCTTATCAATACACAAATGCCCGTAAATGGTTCGCCGGCCGTGCTTTCGCATCATACAGCAGTTCGTCGAGCGAGGATTTCATTTGAGAGTTGTTGCTCATTCCTAAGGAGATGAAATTAACTACGACTTCAAAGTTATGACTGTCACCATAGGAGCTGTCTCATCAAAGGAGATATTTCAACTTATCCAGACGCCATCCCATTATAGTTAGTTAATCGAGCTCTTTGGAATAATTCATAAACTATGCTTCTCTGAGCTGCATTGCCTAACATTTTCATCTATGGAAACCACTAGTGGTATTGGTTAAGAGTATTACCATACATTATTTTTATAACCTAACGTAACCCTGCGTGACGAATCTCAGAAGCAAACAATTGAAGAAGGGATGTTTCTTTTATTGTAATTAGTCTTAAAAATATTTGAAAGGCTGCTAGACAGCTATATACGCCAAACTATACCCCAGACATCCTCTTGAGGGAGCAACGTGATGTAGTCGGATGCATTGCAAAAGGACTTGCCTGGAAGGAGTATACGCTTGGTATCTTATTCGATATCGAGGAGGCTTTCGACACCCAACATTAAATCCTGTAGGATCTATTCTGAGAAACAGGATCATTTTCACAGAGATGGATAGCGCCAGCATCTCCAGACACACATCAAGAGGCACCCATCAACGAACACGTTGATTAGAAAACTGTACAACGAAAGCTGTTGTGTGGTGACGTCTCCTGACGATTTTGCCCTGACAGCGACAGGTAGATCTTTTAGCATCTACTCTATAATACGCTATTTATAGTTGGGAGCTGGTGCTAAGATAGAGGACTAGATGTAAGCCCCGATGAAACCGAAATGATTCTATTTACCAAGAGGTACAAACCTCCTGCTTTTAAGACATCTAAACTAAAGGGCGTGCAGATCAGCCAAATGTCTCGGAATATTTTAGTTAGCAAATTCAACTGGAGACGGAAAACGGAAAAAAGATCATGGAAAGTCGTTTGGTGGACAGCAAATTAGAGTGGGTTTAGCGATCGGCTGACGGTATCTCTGCCATCAACTCCCTTAAATGCACTGCTAACTCTTTTCAACTTTCTTCCTCTGGACCTATACAGGCAACTACAAGCGGACTGCAACTCAGTTAGATTAGATGCAACACAGCCGTGGAAGAATTGCAGTATAGGACACTCAAAAATATTATCTCTTGCAGAAGTCCCAAAAGAGCTGAGTTATACCACCTCCAGCAAGTGCTTCGACAAACTTTTCCTCACGAGAATCTCAAACAGACATGAATAGGAAATCATCAACACCCTCGGAGTTATAGCTATCGATGGGCTGCGGAATTTATTCTCCAAAGCTCTCATTAAACATGAGCATTAGGCTGCCAGTCAACTGCAGCCTTGAAACAACAATTTTCAAGACATTATGGAAGTACTCGAATCAGTCTAACAAGGTCTACGCCATGCGAGGATAGTGAAGTTGCTTCCACTCGTAAAACCGCAGTTCTCGTTAAAACTAGTTCATGTTAGATCTACTTGCGGTTCAATATTCTAGGAGAGCAAGCTTCAACTAAGCCTGACCAGTTGTGTGAAAATTGAAATAAACCATTTGTAGTTGGTTTTTAAGGTTTTAAGTCTAACATAGCCTTGTGGGCTCCGGCAAGTTGCTTCCCCTCAGCTGCTATAGATCCATGTTTTACCTGCTTGCTGTTCAGTATTTTAAGAGAGCAAACTTAAACGCCCAAATGAACAGTTTTTACAGGTCTTTAACCGTCCTTTGCCAATCCATCGATCTATGTACGTTTCAATATTCTATGTTCGTTTAGGAACTACTTTTATCCGAAAACACGAAGGTGGATGAATCAGTTTTCTTTTTTGTTTTGCCACTTTAGTCTAACTTAATTCTTCCATTTAATAAGTAGCTTCATGAAAGCACAAAAGCTCAGTATACCCCCCAATGAAAATTTCCCTGTAACACACCTGAGCATAATCTCGGTGTTTTTCCTCAGTTTGTTGCAATTTATGCATTTTGGTCATGTGTACTCACCAACAGCACCGTGGCTGATGGCTCTTCGGCTTCTGCTCTTTCGTAGGTTGATTGAAAACTTTGGACTAACGAGTCGCACATTCAATTCGGATCGGCGCGATCGTACGCACGCATTCGCTACACCAACTTCGCAAGGAGTTTTCATTTATTTATTTATTCGCCTGCACATAATGTGTGTTCGCGATACGTAAATGTAGTTGACTCTGTGCTCTGTGCTCTGTGCTCTGTTTACAATTCACAGTTTAGTTGTTGATACTGCTGAGCGGTTTGTGCTTGGTCGCGTGGTCTTTTGTGACACTGATTTATAAGCAACAATCATATAAACATACGTTAATACAAATGTACGCGTATTTAGTAAATTTATCTGTGCCGTGCCACCGATTTGTTTCAAAAAACGCATTGACAATGGTTGTAATTAAATGGTGGTCATCATGTGTTGCTGATAAAAGCGGAGAAAGAGGTGAAGAGATCCGCCAAAGTAAATATTGAAATATATTATTATTGTATGACTTAACGATAGCAAGCCAGTGTTCATACACACATACACATGAGGAATATACGAGTAAATAGTGCTAAGGAAATTAAGAAATTTTAAGTATGTGAAATGAGTGGTTTTCAAGTGCAAGAAGTCGGAAAAATATGGCAAAAAGGAAAGGGTGAAAACTGATTAACATTTTTTTTTGGACAATTTGCTAACTACACTTAAACGACTCCTTCGTCCCATTTTAGATTAGTGTAGATTAGGTCGGTCGCATCGGTTATATCGATTAGCCCTGAATAATATCCATTGTGATGCCACAAAAACTAGGTCAAAAGACTTCGCTATCCAAGCATTTCGAATCTCTAATGAATTTCATTAGATCCATGACTTTCACCTCAGCTACCTTCGTTAGACTAACCAACAATATGGTTCCGAGAGTCTAAAAGTAGAGCAGTCGCAAAGAAGTTGGGTGTTTACTTGCAGCTTCTGCAGCATCTGCTAATGGTAGTCCTATCAGAGAGTAGCTTAGATTTGCACTAAATTCCAGTTTCTTTACAAGGGCAAATTATCGAACCATTTTGATTCTCTTATGAACCTTCTTAGATCTATGATTTTACGTTAAATAACTTTGTTGAGGCTCAAGAATTCCAAAACCTAGCCCTGGTCAAAGCTGGACATTAGCATAAGGGATGCGTGATAGTTTCCTCCTCATCATCATCCTTGCAGGAACTTCTACAGAGAGCTCCTATTCATCGACTATCCGCTTAAAGAACAACAGAGTGACTGGAGCTGATGGCAGAGCTATAGAGTTGGCGATTTGCATGCATCAGCTTACTGGTAGATTATGGTCGGACGAGAGCATGCCCGACAACTGGAACCTGAATGTGCTCCAATTATCGTGCATATAAGGTCTTATGGAGTGTACTTTTTGCGAAATTGAAGTGCAGCGTTAATGAATTGATTGGTGACTATCAATCAGTGCGGCACACCTTCTCTATTATTTATTTGGGTTCCACTATGTCTCACTTTGGTGATAAAATAAAGCTGAATATAATTGTAAAAACCCTAATTGTAATGTTACAGGAACTCTCTTATCGAAAATGTGATCGTTTCTTGGATGGGATAGAGTTTTGTTTTATCAGATTTCTTCCTCGATTACGACTTAATCATCACTCTTATATCGCCACTTACTTCCTCGGATTCATAAATGGCACGCACAGGTATTCTATAAGCTCTGGACTTCGTCCAAACCAGTGCATTTCTGAACTGACTCCTAAGACTCTTCAAAAACTACATTCCTTCCTTTCAAAGGAAAAGGTTTGGTCAACTGCTCTATATGGATGACTTTGGCCACCGGCGGTGTGTTTACGTTAGATTTATAGTATTCCGTAAGGAACAGGGGTAGTGGGCGACATTACATTGTCTACTTAGTAAAGCAGGCTCAACTCTAAATATCATAGATATCATTCTTGACATTAGGCATAAGAGATATATGAAGCAGCACTAACAGCTAGCCGCCTATATCTTCTACCCAATTGGATTGAGTCCTCAAATTGTGAAAGACATGATGGCATTCAGAAAAATATATCAGAACTCGGGCTAAACGTAAAATGCGATCGAGGAAGCAGGCCCAGGCGCAGCGATCTTCTGTCATCACGCCAATAACCAAGGTAGCCTTAAACTCAATAACTACAACACTGTATTCTAAGCAGAGATTTTGGGCATTACTGAAGGTGCCAAATGGGCAACCGCTTTAATGGAAAATCCATCAGCTTTCTAGTAAGTGCAAAAGTCTAATTGAACAAGGCAATGGGCAGACGAACAAGCGCCTTCAGTGCCTGTTTGCAAAAGTGGATTTTGATTATCACAATTAAAGTTTTGGAACTCTTCCCACGT